CCCCCGACCCCCACCCCCCTGGTCCCACTATCCTGACTTACCTTAGATTGGGTGGCTATTTTTAGCTCGATCTAACCTTCCCCCTAACTGAATGTCTATACAAAGTATTCAGATACAATTTTAGCCAATTTTCAATTGATTTTGCTCAAAGCAAGCAAAAGATTAAAAAAGCTCCAAAACTGATTTAAAAACTACTTAATATGACCAGCTTGGAAATCATTATAGCAAGAAGTTTTCATACATGCACATACATATATGTGTGTATTTTTAACTCACACAATCCTTCTGCACCACTTTTTGAACTTCAGAGAGATTGAAAATGATTCTTTTAAGCAAAAGGCTTTAACTGAAATCAGAACTCACCTCTCTGCCAATTAGAAATTAGCTTCTGAAAAATTTATAGTTTCTCATAGCTATATGGGCCCTAATCCTCTTGGAAACAGTTTTAGGTCATTATTCTGGGAGTTATTAGGTTGGAAAACAGCTTCTAGGCAAATGATGCTATTCACAAACCTTTTACACCAGAAATAATGGTTGGATTATTTCTGCCTCACAAGTAGTCGAGGTCTGATTTCTGATTTCTTTTATTTCTGGAGTTCTTGAACAAAGGCAATACTCCTTGCTGTTAAATAATAATAATACTGAACAGTTTAAAAAACATAAAAATTGATTTTTATAAGGATTATAATGGCAGTTTTGAGAGCAGGCTGTTTGAATTTTAAAATATTATTTTTGACCTCCACTTATCTTCTGACTTGCACTGCTCTTGTGTGTTTCCAAGGGCACCTCAATGCTTTGGTGTTTCCCCAACCAGACAGTTTCAAGGGCCTTTCAAACATCTTGATTTTTCTTGTGTCTTCTAGAGTGTTATTCCTTTTATAAATTGACTACGTTCTCACAGCAGCAGATAAAAATAACATAGAATCCTGAAATCTAAGTTTCCTTTATGATAGCTAGTAAAAGGATGGCAATGTGCCCTCAGAATGTAGGAATACCCCTATTTACAGAGCCCACCCAAATATCCCTCTTGTTCTTACAAAAGCTAACATTTTCCTATGAAATGTATTAATCTTCTGTAAATTGCCCAGCTGACAGAGCAAGTGGGCAGCTCAGCAAGTTAAAATTGGCAGCAGGTTGGGCGAAATGTTTCTGTTCATCCTTATCAGGGTAAGCTTAAAAGTGTTTTACTTATCTTGAGCACAGAAAGTAGATGGCAGGGACTGGCCTTTCAACCCTCATTCTGAGACAGTTTTTTTTTCTAATTCATGAAATCTAACACTAATATTATCGCGTCTGAATTTCCTATATGACAACAGGAAGCTTAAAAAAGCTTTTACAAAGCACTTTTTCATTCAAAATAAAGAGTCTGACATGCTTCTTCATATTAGAGTTGTCTTGGTCTCTCACCCCAAACTCTAAATATCTTTTGCATCTATTTATGCATGCAAGAACACATGTGCACCTCTATCATGTGTACACACATCACCTGAATGTTATAAAATTCATTACAGAGCTAAATTAAGCTGTCTTTGCAATACTACTACCACAGAATGGAATTATGTGCACTGAAAACATTTAACCTATATGACCAGGAGTGACCTCTAACTCTTCACCCCAAAATAACAGTTTGGACCCAAAACTGGAAAAGGTCAGGAGGGCCTCCACCAGTGGCTGAACACTCTCAGCTTGCTCATTGTCACATCTTGGGCACATACGGCAGCTTTCAGAATCTCACCAAAAGCTTGTAGCATGTCAGGCGAATGTGTATTAAAGGACTATGCAATGCATGCAAGATTATTTATTCCCCCAAACGGGGAAGAATGAGTTGGGTCCCTTTCAAATATCAGCATATCATTATAATTTTGTAAAAGAATGTTACCAGGTTAGAAAAGTTGAAGAGCATCTGCTAAAAATCACCTCATACCACTTATCATACCATACCACTTGATCAAACCCAGACTAGCAAGCTTTTGTTCATTCACAAAGGGACAAATCCCAAAACCCCAATGAACATTTTGGCTAAATAATGACATCAGGATTTCATGCATAATGTTTTCATACAACTCAATAAACATACACACTTTTCTAATCTTTTCTTTTGCAAATAAAACAATTCAATTAAAACCTTAGAATCCCTTATGTTGTATAACTAGCTGTTAGTAAAACCATGTCCATTTATTCTTACCCTGAAGGTGGCAATTCTAATCTTTGCAGATCAAGAGAGTCATAGCTTGAAGTAAAATTTCAGCATCACAAAACTGCAATAGGAATAAAGAGCAGCAGACTCTCCTAATATATATTTCACAGAGGAAGTGATATCACAAAATCTGGTGGCCAAAGGATTCTGTTGTTTTACTTCCTAAATGTAGTAACTAATGGGTTAATTTGCCCAGACAGGAATCCCACCATCAGTATTCAAGAAAACTGTATAAGTCACATACAAAAAAAGCCTTCCAAAATAGTCGAAGTTAGCGAGATGTAACATAATTCATAAAAAGAGAAAAGAAAAGAATTGTTGCAGTTGTTCCCCTTAGTTATATTAGGAATAAAACCAAAACTAATGTAATAATGTATCCCAGCAGTTCAAATCTTCTAATTTATGTAGAATGGATTATTACTTAGACAATCTGACCCTGGGCAAAACTTCCTCAGCTGAGAAGATTTACAATCTAATTATGCAGGAAGTTCTGCTGAGACAGTTTGGGTGCAATGGTCTTCTATTACATTAGGTTAGCTAAAATAGCTGCTTCTTTGCTTGCTTGGTGTTCCAGCTATTCATATAAAAACAGAAAATCTTTCGTTCACATCCTTTATTTCCCTCTAGTCTTTCTCATCATTACTGCATGTGAAAACCCTCATTCCCAACTACAGATAGCAGGAGCAAGTCTACATTGTTGATAACAACTTCTGAGCTTCCTAAAAAGGCTTTTGCTTTAACCCATGTCTGATGAACTGACTTAAAAGTTAATATCAGAGCACTCTTCATAATTTTTACAATAGTTTTTTGTCTTCCCCAAATGTAAATACTCCAATAGAAAGCATTAAGCTGAAAACTATTTCTGTACACAAATTCCCCCTTCCCCCTGTATACACATATACATACTGACAGACAAGCACCCCCTTCCCCCCCAATATACACATGCACAAATACACCAGTTTATTATTGGAGGGATGTATTATAGATATGGTATTGCTAGCCTGGCTGCCTGAATACTTTTAGCAATATATTTGGTTATATTAAAAATATATACCTCTATCCTTAAATAATAGTGAGGACTTTCCATGTAGGAAAAAAATGTAGGGTATTTAAGCCTAGCAGTGAGTTGAAAGCATCTCTTTGACTAGTCATGGTATGATGTGTTGACATGATTGAGCATATTAAAATTCCTCATATTTGCATAGCTGAAAAAAATCAATGCTTGCTTCTTTACAGTGAGCGTTTTGATTTCAAATGGTCAGGGGTTCATGTCGTGGCCTTCAGTCTTGATAATTATCATGTATGTGTTAGTAATGCACATTTTTATCTACAGGTGGCAGACCTTTTAAAATCATTTTCAATCAAATTCATTATAAATTTTGGCTGATATCACCACCCACATTAAAAAGTAAGAACTCTGCAGCACAAAGTTCTAATTAATGTTGTTCAATTTAGATGACAGATTTGTCAACAAAGTGGCTCATTATCAAAGGTTGCTGACCCCTGTCAGAATGAAGGCCTTAAAAAAATCAGTCACCCATTACATAGCGATCTTTTATTATTCAGAATTCATTCAGCAACTTATAATGGGAAGAAAGGCAGAAATTTTGCTTCTTAGATTAGTAATCCCGATGGGTAAAAGCAACTTCTGTTTGATAAACTCATTTAGAAGAAAAGGAAATAAAGAAATGATACAACTGATTATTTGCAATTAAAGGTGAATCACGAAAATCTTTGTAAATAAAAACAAGCATTTAAGACACCACACCTCTAGATTCTTTTCTGGTGTATATGATCAAAGCTCCATTGACTTTAGGGCTAGGTACAAATATTCATAAAGCCTGAAGCAGAACTGAGTTACATGGTTGTAAGTGGTTCTCTATAAGTAGTTCAGATGAATAATGAAAAGAACACATTTGCCATTTGGGGGTTTTGGGCAGGGATGCAAATCTTAGACTGGGTTCCACCATTTTTAAACCAGTCTTTGTGAACTTCTGTTCTTTTACGGGTATAGACTGGTTTTCTGTGCCAGCTTCTGTTCTGTTGTGAGTATAGACAAATTTCTGATCACTCATACCAGTAAAAGTGTAATATTTGTACCTGGCCTAGACGTATATCACAAAAAGACTGATTTAGTCTTTGTAAATAAAAACAACCAGAGTCACACCAATGATCTGGCATCCAGCGAACTCCAACATAAGTTTTACCAAACAATGGACTGCATGCATTGATAAACCTTTTGAGTGAGAACTAAAAATACAAGCATGTGCATCTACATTTTAGATGAATGTCTGTCAGCATCAATATTATGCATTAAAAAAAAGTCTCTCTCAGTAACTCCTCTGGTAAGTGAAACAAAAACATATTTTATCACCTAATTTACTTTTTACCAGTTATGTTTATTTTCCCACTTCATTCAATATGGATCGTGAAACTAGACTAATCTGTTCAATCAGTTTCTCTTTCTGGTTTTCCTGTACCAGCAAAATACTGCTGTGTTTGGGTTCTAACCAATAGAAGGGAATGTTAAAGCTAAAAATATCCCAGTCAAATCCTCAGTTCTTTGAAGCCAATAGAGGTATGATGATATCACCAGCTGTGTATTTAGCCCTAAATATTTAGTTACAATGGGCCTGATCCTCCACTGCTTTTCGCCTTGTTTCCTCATTTATGCCTGTGAAAAGTGTGTGAAAACAGTTGTAAACTGTTCTCACCATTGTGGGTGAACTGCTAGCATTTTACACTCACATTACAAAGGTATGACACTAGAAGGTGCAAAGCAGAGGATAAAAGATCTAGTTAGCTGGCATCCAGACCTGAATGGAGCACAGTACTCAACGAGGTATTCAGCACTTTCTGCTCCTCCTGTAATCAACATGAGATGGAGACATTACTTATTGATGCAGGCACATAAGCAGACATTTAGTACTTCCTAGCACAAGGCTGGGAAATTATTTGGACTGGAGAGCCACTTAAGGAGTTTTGGTGAGCTGTTGGGGGGTGGAGGGGCTGACCCAACCTTGCTCCCCTGTCATGGCTTTTTATACTGCCGTGTGGGGGGGGGGGGGGACTGGGGAGATGCCAATTAATCCTGTCTGGCCCCATCCACCATGAC